CAAGGAGGGGGGAAGAGAAAGGAAGAAAGAAAAAGGAGAGAAAAACAGAAATGAGAGGGAGGGAGGGGGACAGGGAGAGAAAGAGAAAGAGAGCCATTTCCCACAGAAAACACCAGGAGCAACAAAACCCTCGGTAGACATGGCTGGGGAGGTCATGTGACTGGGTGGAAGTAGTGTTGAGTTGGCCATGCCCACCCAACCATGCTCACCCAGGCAGTTATTAGGGCAGAGAGCCCCTTGCTAAAAAAATTGAAGCCCACTCCTGCCTAAAATTCATAGAAGAGGGGACCCAGACAAGGAAGTTAGCAGGTGAGAACTTTGCTTGAGAGCTATAGGTGGGTGAGCGAGTGTCAAGGATAGGCACTATGAAGCATTGGAAGGTGTGTAGGTGCCATAGGGGACTGGGAAGTTGCCAAAGGCTGGCACTATAGAGCATAGGCAGAGTGGAAACCAGCAGTAGTAACTTGCGGCTTCCTGCCAGCTCCCCTATTGACTTCACTTTTGGGAAGCCAGTAAGGAATGTCAGAATTTATGATCACAAGGATTGGACTACAAGGATGTTGCGTTAACCGCAACTTCACAGACTGGTTGCAAGTCCCCCCTCATCCCCATTCAGCACTTTCATCACTCCAAATAGCTGTTGAACAAGTGGTTGTAACCTGAGAATTACCTGTATTTTTTAAATAAGCAAATTTAAATTCTCTTTAGCTAAATTTAAAATGTAGGTAAATGTTATATGGGATGTGTCAAAAGGGTTAGAATTGAAATGGAATAGGAATTGAATTAGAATATTTTTGTATAGGGAGAGAACCTGTAAATTTGTACTGACCTTCTGTTAACCAACAGGTTCTTCAAGCACTTTTAATCCAGTTGATATTGCTGATTCACTGAAATCCTTAGGAGATAAGTACAACGCAGAAATTGAAAGCCACGTACAGGCAGTTATTGCAGAGGAAAGCGTAAGAAAGGTAATTACCTTCCTAAGTATTCTGGCCAAAATTCATCAGGTTTAGTTTACCATTAATTTATAGAAATTATCTATGTAGATGTAAATTATGCAGAATACTTGTTTGTAGCCTCTTAGATGCAAAGTATTTTATATTGGCTGCTTTGATCTGTCCTAGTTTAATATGTTTTCTGCTCTATTTTAAAAATAGCATTTTTGTTGAATGTTACAATTCAAAAGGTATGAACGAATACAAATTTTTAAAAAAGGAATAAAAAAACCCGTGTAGAAAAGAAGGCAAAATAGAAAGAAAAATAGAAAAGAAAGAAAAATGATATAGTAAAAAAAGTTAAATAAACAAATAAATAACTTCCCCCTCCATAACAGGTATTAACAATTTTAGTAATCTATTAACTTATCTTAAAATACAGTAGATGAACTTTACTTCCCATAAGTTGCCTCTTATCTATTAATGTTTAACGCCTTTTTAAAATCAACAACATACCTATATAACCGCAATCACACCCTTTTACTTTAACAATCTTAATCTTTAATCTCTTCAAATGATGTCCTAGAACTTGATTTCTTTTCATTTTTTTCTTTGTCCTTTCTCACAAAATCCTTCAAAATGTTAACAAAAGCCTCTTTTGTAAATCCCATATAGGAAAGTTATTCAGGCTTTTTTGGTTCGTTTTTTTATATCCCCCTTAATTATTAAGACATTACAGTTTCATTTACATGTTTGGTCTAGTGGTTAAAGTGCAGGAGCCTGTGAGTTCCACTCCTGTGTTATAGGCATGGAAGATAGCTGGGTGACTTTGAACCAGTCATTCTCTCTTTGCCCAATTCATCTCACAGGGTTGTTGTAGGGCAGGGGTTTGCAACCTTAAACATTCAAAGATCCATTTGGACCAGTTCCCCACAAAACCTGGGTGGGCATGGCCAACTCAGTGTCATTCCCACCCAGTCACATGACCCCCACCACCACGCCTACCCAGATTTTGTGGCTCCTGGTGTTTGTGGCTCCCGGTGTTCTGTGGGAAATTGGTCTCTCTCTCTCTCCTCTCTCTCTCTCTCCCTCCCTCCCACCCTCCCTCTCATTTCTGGTTTTTGTGTTTTACCTTTTGAGGCCAGGCGAGGAGTGACGGGGAGGGGAGGGCAAGGGGCGGGGGCCAGCCAGTGGTAAGATCACCCAACCAGGAGCCACAGCAGAGAGCCCAAAGAGCCGCAGATTGCTGACACCCACTGTAGGGAAAATAGGAGGAGAAAGGAGTATTAGGTATCAACCACCTTAAAGTTAATTTAGTCCACTAACCCTTAACCCTTAGTCCACTTGTTACTTTCCAAAATCAATGTTCTAGGGATCCTTTTTTCCTTTTGTTAAAAAAAAGTCCTTCAACTTATTTCATCAAGGATTGAAAGAGCCTTAGTCATTGCTCTAAAACTTATCACTGTGAAGGATCCTAATAGCTAAAAAGCAGTTAAGCAATTTCCAAAAGTGATTAAGAAATGAGATTCAGTGAGCCTTATGTCCATATCCACGGGTATCAAACTTGCCACATCATACTGCCATCACGTGACCTTTCACAATGTTTTTCCCTTTCGCGGAACTAGGATGCACATGACCCATCCGGCCAGTGGGCCGGCAGTTTGACAGCCCTCAATAGACTATACTGGAGCTGGATTGAATCCGTGATTCGCAGCCAAGTTAATCACAAAAACCTCAGCTCCTGCAATCTACTAACAAGAGCCAGCTGTCCAGAATAAATGTGAGAGATCTCATTATCTTTTCTTTTTCCAGAGAGATTTCATTAGCCAGAATTCATCATCTGACCAATTTCAATAGCAATGCAACCCTCTAAGGTTGTAAATCTTTACTGGAAGTTTTACTTTATGCTGGTTTCTCATCTATTCTGTGTTACATTTTCAAGAGCAGGATGGTGATTAGAGCTATGTAGGACCTATTTAGACCAATAGATTAATATAACAAACAATAATTATAGGATTCAAGGCACTGCAGTTGCCACTTATATCCTTGTTCTTTCATCTTATTTCTTTCAATTCTTCTTTCACTGTCTATTTTTCATTCCTTTGTTATTTTAGGCACTAATACAAATTATGCTGTAGTATCTTCTGATTTCTTTGTCCATAATCCTTGTACTTTCGTTTTTATTATCTAGTTATTAGCTTTAGTCTGGAATAATATAAAAACTGGAGCAAGAAGTCAATGACTCGAGTCCAAAACCAGGAGGGCACTTTTCCATTGACAGTAGTAAACAAAAACACAGTCAAGACTCAACCCAGAGAACCGAAGAGAGAATTTTGTAATCAGAAATCAAGGTTCAGAGGGTACAGTAGAACAAGGGGAGATCAATCCAGGGAAAGCCTAAAAAAGACAGTAAGGTTTTGGAATTATGTCCCTCCCTCCCAAAACGCTATTATGGATGATCTTATTGTAAGGATTGACTGTTCTTAGGCAAGGTTGATTGCGGAAGCAGAAGTCATCTCCTCTTAAGAGGGTGTCATCCAAGGTAAACTTTTTAAAACAATCTGCCATTTGCATCTCTCTCACTTTCAGTGTAATGATGTTGATTGTCTGTGAGACGGTGGCTTTGTGTTAGGCTTTCAGTCTAAAGTTAATGAGTCAAAAAGGACATCATTATTTCATATTTGCTTGTCTCTTCAGCAGCTCTTGATCTTCATCTTTTTCCTAAGAAGGGACGGGTTGGTTCAAGAAACTTAAACTATTCTAAGCTTTAATTGAAATATTTTAAGTGTTATAATTGTCAATTTTGTTGTACAAGTAGAACAAAATAGATATTTGATCCTATTAATAAATGTTTGATTTAAATTTTAAAGTGACTCAGAAGTGTTCCCCACTATAAATGCCTGTTGTCTTACAATAGTTGCATTTTCTTTTTGAAATATTCACTCTATGTTTACAGATAGAGAAATTTGGAGAAGTAGCAGAATCTCTCAGCAGGATTTGGATCAGTCAAAATCCTGGGCTAGAGCCTGAAAAAGTTTTTCTAGCTGCTGCTGTGAAATTGTTTGTGAAATTTATGAAGAAAACTCATGGAGATGAGGGCCAGATAAACATACTCACAGAAACAATCAATGGAAATCCTGAAGTGAGAGGCTATATTGAAAGACAGGGTGGTTGGGTAAGTTAAATTAATGTTTAACTGTGACTTAGCACTTGGGTAATTGCATTCAGTCAACAATCTGGAAACAGTACATGAAACAAATTCAATGTCCTATTTTAAAGATTTATTCCTCAGTTTTAACTGAAATATTTCTAACTGTAAAACAATCTGCACTAATACAAAATGATCCACTCCTTTCTCACATGCACATAAGTGCAGATTCCCTTATATCCTGAATCATGGATGTCACTAATCTGCAATTCCAAAACAACAAGCAGAAGGAGTTGATTGCTGAAGACAGGCAAGCAAGCTGCTTTCATATTTAATGGATGAGACCATATCCTTATCTTGTGCAATGATATTCCCTCTGAGTATAAGGTATGGGAGCAAATGCAGTGGCATCTACTGATGTCATCTTCAGGTCTTAAATCAAAATCCCAATGTGTTTCACAACAATGGATTCAGGATCTTTACTATATACTTTTGAGAAAGATCATTTATTGCTCCTTCCACCCTTATTTGATTAGCAATATTTTTCTTTCTTTCTTTTTTTTTAGGGTAATCTTGGAAGAAGTCTAAACAGCCCATAGTTTCTTGCTTCCAATGTAAAAGACTCATCTGCTATTTTGGAGGAAATAGAGCTGGAGAGTTGCTTCAAATCTGAAATGGAACTGCAAATGAATTGAAAAGGCAATTCTGTGAAGAAACAAAATAAATTTAATAAATTTAAAAAGAAACTCATAATAGCTTGGTTATCCTTGTAATTAAATTGTCAGTCAAGGAATTGGATAGATAATTCCTGCAGCCACAATTCCACACAATACATTGCACCAATTTACAGTCCCTTGCTTTAGTAGATCATCAATTCCTTGGTCCTAGTTATTAATATATTCCTGTTTCATACAAAGGAAATGTCTATATTTGGGAAGACTGGAGCCTTACTTGCATCTCATTTTCCTGGGTTGTTAGTTGTGTCATTTTTCTATATTTAAACATTTGCAGGATAAAATATGTCAGAAAAAATATTGTAAAGCATATTGGCATGTGAAAAATGATAGTTACAAATGCCTAATAATAAGGAAGATAGAAGAAATATGGATTATTCAAGACTGTGTAATTTATGCCTTATCTGGAAACTTACCTCATTTGAACCAAATTACAATTGTTTGCCCTCAATTTATTATTCTGACCTATATGACCTATATTGCTCATGTGTAGCATCTACTTATATTTTTACAGTATAATTGAATTGGAAATTTAAATTACTTAGCAGTAACTCCTATTAAGCATTCTGCCTTATTAACAGTCCTTTTCTTTTTTTATTGGTATATGGCAAGACTGGCTGTTTCCCTCTTGCTTGAAAATCTTTGTTTTTGAGTAAATTGCACTTTTATATGTCAACCTCCCATCCTTCAAATGTGTTGAACTACACTTCCCATCACTCCAAGCTAGGAGAGCTTCAATTTGGGAAATGTTGACTATACTGATCCCATTTAAAATAGTAGCCTTTGGGGTTGCATAAATTCCTGGCTAAAATAAAGTATGTGTCAGCATTGCAAGTAACAACCTCCAAGAAAAATACTCTGAGAATATCATCTTCCCAAAGATCCATTTTATTAGAGATGTCATATTGGCACATCTGGGGAAAATCCGAATCTGAGAATTCTGGGTTTTTCCTAGCCCAAAGAAAACTCCAACTCCTACACCCAATCATCTATCACATGGCCCAATCCTTACTTCCTTCCAACTGGAGACTATCCCCAGTCACTCCACTCCAGGTGCAGGGTACCATGTCCTTGACTTTCTGAGAAAGGAATGTTGTGGTGGCTAATCTGCCACCACTCCTTGAAATCCCCCTCCCAAATTCCCAGGCACTGAATGTGGCAGCCCAGAAGCCTCAAAGAAAAATTGCTTCCAAGCTGACAGTATGTTTCTATATATTTCTTCTAAGAGCCCTGGTGATGCAGTGGTTAGAATGCAGTGGTTAGAATGCATGATTATGTTTATATATCAACAACAGCTGGTCTCAGGATATAACTATAATATATAAGTTTTGTGATGAAAACTTAGAGTCTTTACACATCAACTGCAAGCCATTTTACTCTCCACGTGAGTTCTCCTCATTTCTCCTAATAGCTGTGTATGTTCCTCCACAAGCCTGTGAAAACAAGGCATTACGAACTCTTGATCAAATTATGGAGGCTGAAGCCAAACACCCAGGTTCCCTTCCCATCATTTTAGGAGATTTCAATCAAGCAAATTTAAGGAAAGAGCTCCCAAAATATTTCCAGCATGTAAATTGTCCCACCAGAGGCAAAAATACTTTAGATCACTGCTACACAGCAGTAAAAGATACTTATAGGTCTTTACCACGAGCAGCTGTGGGACACTCTGACCACTGCATGATTCACCTTGTACCTGCCTACAGACAAAGACTTAAAACCATTAAACCAACAATTAAATCAGTGAAGATTTGGTCGGATGAGGCAAAGCTGAAACTCCAGGCCTGCCTTGATTGCACTGATTGGAATGTTTTTGAAGATGCCTCTGCAGACCTAGATGAGCTCACAGATACTGTAACATCATATGTTAGCTTCTGCGAAGACTTATGTGTACCAACAAGGAACCTGCAAATATATAGT